TCTTTATCTATTTCATTGCTTTGTTTGAGGATATCTGCGGTCTTAAATTGTAGACATTTCAAATTTTGCATCTTAAAATGTTCATATATCAAAAAATTAAAAATATGAAAAGGCTCATACAATGTCTGTTCATGTCATGCTGGTTAGGTTATCATAACTGTTTTCATGATCATTATGTTTTGAAATCAACTTTGTCTTTAAAGCAATAAAAGCCCTATAAATATTAAGTTTCTGCTATTGCAAAAAGATACCTGCATATTAATCTTCACTGATTTTGCAGTTCGTCAAATTTAATTTTAAATCGATATCATCTGATTTTATCTCCACCAGTTTTATTTAAGTTTAAATTATTGATTTAATTTTCAATAATTACTTATATGTCTAATAAAATCTCTTTGAAGGGAATGTGGGCTAGAAAATATTGATGTAAAATTTCTAGTTGTGTGTTTTATTATTAAAATTTCACAGAATGTTAATGTTGAAAATTGAAGTGGAGGAGATAAACTTCATGCATTCCAATTTCACTTTTTACTTTATGAGATAATACATAAATTAATTTTCTCATAAAGCTGGGAGAAGTTATGTTTTTATTCAATCAGCAATTAGATTGCAGTTTTTATTCAATCTAACACTCTTAGGTATTAAAAGAAAAGTTGGAAGTTTTCTGCCTTGATAGACTTGATCTTGCATTACTGAAAAGAAGAGCTTATTTGAAATTCTCAATGAAGCACAACAAAAAGATATATATTTTTGTAGTCTAGTCCTGAAATATCTTAAGAAAGCCTAGAAAATGTTTATTTTCAAGACATGTTATGATTTTTAGCACATGAATGGAAAGCTATTACTTATATAGCTTGGAAAAGGGCATATTTTATTTATTAGAACTTTGTAATGAAAGGAACTGTATGCATATAGTGTCTCTTTAGTAGCTAAGTAGATGTGATGAATTATTCAGCACCTAACTACCTTGGCTTTATAAACTTTGATTTTATATGTGGATTATTCTTTTGCATAGCAGCTAAATATTTTGTTTATTTGACAAGCTTAAAGTTGTGTTAAAATCAAAATGTAAATTTCATTAAAATGGAAGCATTCAACTCTGTGGTAAATATAGTAGGAGAACAAAGCGATAGTTTTGCAAATTCAGAGTTAATATAACAATATTAGTAAATTCAACTTCTTCTTTTACCAACTTTTATAAAGTTATTAACAATATAATCCATTGGCTTGGCTTCTAGGTTCTTCAGTTTCTGACATGTTTATGGAATAAAGTTTTATAAATCTTTAGGACCAAAAATTCACAAAAATATGTTTATTCCTACACATTAAAAAATCAAATGTAAATAGAACAAGTGTTTACAGATTTTCTCATTGATTGGATTTAAGGAATGTTCATAATTACAAATACATATTTAAAAATATATGCCTTACATAGGTAATTCAGTTCACTGGAATGTGTAAATATTAGATTTAATACAGATTCAAAGGAAAAAAAGACTTATATTGTGATGAGTTAATAGAATAATCAGAATGTTGATATTTGAGAACATAGACTCATTCAAAGTGTAGTAAAATCAATACATAATTATGAAAACTAAAATTTTAATAAATACAATATTAGGAAAATTCTAAAAATTTACTGTAAGGCAGTTCCTAAAAATTTTATCAGCGTTTTAGTTATTTTGTTTAAAAAATAATACTAAAGCAGAGAAAAACTAGTCTGAAATAAAATCAAAATTGTAGACATTTTCAGAAATTTATGTTTTAATTAAAAACTCAAACAGTAATCAAATTAGTTTGTGGCCAGTAGTGCAGAGCAGCCTCACAAAAGAAACAGTGACATTTGGAAATGCTGTGCTCGTATCTGTTTTGAATGGATGCTCCTGAATATTAAATACATTCTCTTGAATATTGCTTTTACAAAATAGATTAATTTGCAAACCTATTAGATATAGCAACTGAAAAGATAAATTGCATATACTCTTGAATAAGTTATAAATTAATGGGACTGGAATTTATAAAGAAACATTTTATGTTTTAGTTTTTAAAAGTTGTGTGTTTAGGAATCATTTAGAGTTGACAAAAGTCAGATGTAAGGCTTGTCTTGCCTGGGATAGCATTCAACTTTTTTTTTTAATTAAAGTTTATTGGGGTGACAAATGTTTGCAAAGTTACATGGGTTTCAGGTGTACAATTCTGTAATACATCATCTATATATCACATTGTGTGTTCACCACGCAGTTAGTTCTCCTTCCATCACCATATGTTTGATCCCTTTTACCCTCATCTACCACCCCTCTCCCCACTTACCCTCTGGTAATCATTAAACTATAATATGTTCTTCGATAGATGATTGGATAAAGAAGATGTGGTATATATATGCAATGGAATACTACTCTGCCATAATAAAAGATGAAATAGTGCCTTTTGCGACAACATGGATGGATCTTGAGATTATTATGCTAAGCAAAATAAGTCAGACAGAAAACGTTGAGAACCGTATGATTTCACTGATGTGTGGGATATAAAACTGAAAGCATTCAACTTTTATTGCACTGAAAAGCTTGGCAGGTATCCGTCACACACATCTATAGCATACACCTTAGAAATCCTGGTGAGAAGGATGTACGAGTGCCTGTGATGTATGGATACCTTTGAACCTGTCCTTACTTTATCTGGTAAATAAAATCATTTGTAACTTACTTCACAGTTCATAGCCACACATAAGTTGCTGAGAAAAATGAGTGTATGTTATTGATAACAAATATAAGCTTAGCAGTTTCTTTTTATTTCCAACCACAAAGGTGGAATTTGCTTTTCACGCTCACTCTTGGGGATCCGAGAAGGCAGAGAACATGCAGTCTAGTGGTGGAATGCTTGTCCAACTACTTTATAAAAGCAGAGAGAACATTTTATAGATATCTACAATGGCAATGTTTCAAACATGGACCAAGTCAAAAGAATCACTTTCTTTCGTCTGCTTGTTAAATACAGATTTCTGGACAAAGAGAGGCCTACTGAGTTAGCATCCACAGTGCAGAGACCTGGTAGCTGGTATTTTCCCCACTCCGCCCAGACGATTGGGCCAGGTGGGCAAACCTGATATTCATGCTTTCTCACTTGGCAGAGCAGCTAATCTCAGTTGAAGCCTTCAGTTACCATCCTGTTTTCATTCTTTCATATTTTCATTGAGATGTTACAATATGTAGTTTATACTCGAGTGGGCATTGAAAATGCATAGGTAGTAATGCACGAGTCCTGCCTAGTTAGCAATATAGAGTTTGTAGTACTAGGTTGCAAAAGAGTTGAAACAGCCTTTAAAAGCTATTGCCTTTGATTGCAAGGTAGATGTACTCTCTTAATTCTGGCTGCTATGGCAGAGTACCATTGACTGGGTGGTTTATAAATAACAGAAATTTATTTTGCACAGTTCTGGAAGCTGGGAAATCCAAGATCAAGGTGCCAATAGATTCATTATCTGATAACAGCTCACATTTCGGTTTACAGACAGCCACCTTTTCTGTGTCCTCACCTTGCAGAAGGGGCAAGGTAGCTCTCTGGGGCCCTTTTTATAAAGGTATGAATCCCATTCTTGAGGGCTCCACCCTTATCACCAGATCACTTTCCAACAGCCACACTCCCAAATACCATCACATTGGAGATTAGGTTTCAAAAAATGAATTTTAAGAGGAGCACAAAACATACATTCTAGCACGCACCTTGATATATCATACTAAGGCCTTGAACTTAACATGAATCAGTCTCAGAACAGAATCAGAATACAGATATTGTATTTTATCTGTCTATGCTTTTCATGAAAGTGTTTTGTTTGTTTTTTTGTGCGTTTGTTTCAGGATGCTATGGCATATTCGCGACACAGTTCCACTTCATTAGTAGCTCTCCCTGCATGTCTGCTTTTTATTATTTTATTTTGTTTTACTGATGTTTCATTTCTTTTTTATCATATATTCAATGGTTTGATTACTGAATTATTGTACGGTCTTTTACAACCTAATTAAAAGTAACCATGAGATTGGGGTTATGGCAGATAATTTTACTGGTGTACTTTATAATTAATGATATATTGATATAGTCTAGTGTCATATTTAGGCTAATTATAAAATGTAATTACTAGTGTAGCCAAGATGGTTGACTGCTGCCTAAAGCTATCATTTTGAAATGCAGCTTTGACTTGCTGATTACTCCAACCTCCCTTAATTTGTAGATACATTATTATCTGTTCTTTCTGTGGAGAAATTGATTTGGAAGCATCAGTTTCTTAAGTCAGAAAGTAAAATGTGCCACAGTAATGTCTTTGAAGATAAGATGATAAAAACAACACAAGATAGTTGAGAAGGTGGTCACACAATTACTTATTTTCATTAATAACGTTCATGACTTTCCCACTGTGTAAACAAGATTTTGCAATTTAGGCGTAGTTTAATCATAAAATGCTTTACTTTATTTTTTAATTGGAGCCTGCTAGGAAGTCTGAGGATTGTCAGGCTTCCCTTCTCTTTGCAGTAACTAGTGCATTATCTACTAGTTTTAATGAATATTTAAAAAAAAAGAAAAAAAAAGAAAAAAAAAGACAGTAGGTGTTGAATCAAATATTTAATATCACTGTCTTTTATAAATAATGAACTCATGATCAGCAATTATTTTCTTAGTGACACTTTTTTTTTCTACCATTAGTGGGTTATAAATGACTTTGGAATAAAATAAGAAACTACCATACATGTAAATTCTTTTTGATATCTATACTTTTTAAAGGTGTTTGATTCTAGGAAATAGGTCTCTGTAAAGCAAGTGTTCTGTGTGTAATGCACACTTTTGACCAGCTATTATCCTTGGAAGCTAAGTTGGGTTTAGGAGGCTGAGCAGTCTCATTTAGATCCTTAGTTTTGATACATTACATTCATTTACTGTATCTGGAGCAGATGGATGAACAGTTATGACATGAATATTAAGCCCTTTCATCCTTTATACTTCTGCTTTTGTTACAGAAACCCTTGAAACCCTCATCAGGCAAGCAGAAAATTATACCAGCATCCTTTTTTGCAACACCTACAGGAACATGGCCTTGGAGGCTGCTGCTTCAGTTCAAGAGTTCTTCACTGACGTAGGGCTCTATTTATTTGGTGCGGATGTCAACCCTGAAGAATTTGTGAACAGATTCTTTGACAGTCTTTTCCCTCTAGTCTACGATCATCTCATCAACCCTGGCATGGCCGACAGTTCCCTGGAATACTCGGAATGCATCCGGGTGGCTCGGCGGGACATTAGTCCATTTGGTAACATCCCCAAAAGAGTAATGGGGCAGATGGGGCGGTCGCTGCTGCCCAGCCGCACATTTCTGCAGGCACTGAATCTGGGCATTGAAGTCATCAATACCACAGACCATCTGCACTTCTCCAAAGAATGCAGCAGAGCCCTCCTGCGGATGCGGTACTGCCCGCACTGCCAGGGCCTGACACTCAGCAAGCCTTGTATGGGCTACTGCCTCAACGTCATGAGAGGCTGCTTGGCACACATGGCAGAGCTTAACCCACACTGGCATGCATACATTCGGTCATTGGAAGAGCTGTCGGATGCCATGCACGGGACGTATGATCTTGAACACGTGCTCCTGAACTTCCACCTGCTTGTTAATGATGCTGTGATGCAGGCTCACCTTGATGGACCAAAATTATTGGAACAGGTAAGTAGTGACTGTACATTTCCTCTCTGACTTTTTAGAGGATTAGCCATATACAGAATTGGTTGACTATAAACACATGATTATGTACTTTACAATTATGGCAGTTGAACAGGTTGATATTTGAGGAAATAGTAGCATAATGCATGGATTGTTGTATTTGATACAAGGTATAT